GTACTTACATAGAAAATACACTAAATTTTGACCTCTTAAAATACAGTGAGGAACCCTTGTTGATACACAGGAACAACCATGTACTTACACTAAAATTACACTAAATTTGCCCTCTTAAGATACAGTGAGGAACCCTTGTTGATACACAGGAACAACCATGTACTTACACCAAAAATACACTAAATCTGCCCTTTTAAGATACAGTGAGGAACCCTTGTTGATACACAGGAACAACCATGTACTTACACCAAAAATACACTAAATCTGCCCTTTTAAGATACAGTGAGGAACCCTTGTTGATACACAGGAACAACCATGTACTTACACCAAAAATACACTAAATCTGCCCTTTTAAGATACAGTGAGGGACCCTTGTTGATACACAGGAACAACCGTGTACTTACATAGAAAATACACTAAATTTGCCCTCTTAAAATACAGTAAGGAACCATTGTTGATACACAGGAACAACCGTGTACTTACACTAAAAATACACTAAATTTGCCCTCTTAAGATACAGTGAGGAACCCTTGTTGATACACAGGAACAACCGTGTACTTACATAGAAAATACACTAAATCTGCCCTTTTAAGATACAGTGAGGAACCCTTGTTGATACACTGGAACTACCGTGTACTTACACTGAAAATACAATAAATTTGCCCTTTTAAGATACAGTGAGGAACCCTTGTTGATACACAGGAACAACCATGTACTTACACCAAAAATACACTAAATCTGCCCTTTTAAGATACAGTGAGGGACCCTTGTTGATACACAGGAACAACCGTGTACTTACATAGAAAATACACTAAATTTGCCCTCTTAAAATACAGTAAGGAACCATTGTTGATACACAGGAACAACCGTGTACTTACACTAAAAATACACTAAATTTGCCCTCTTAAGATACAGTGAGGAACCCTTGTTGATACACAGGAACAACCGTGTACTTACATAGAAAATACACTAAATCTGCCCTTTTAAGATACAGTGAGGAACCCTTGTTGATACACTGGAACTACCGTGTACTTACACTGAAAATACAATAAATTTGCCCTTTTAAGGTACAGCGAGGAACCATTGTTGATACACAGGAACAACCATGTACTTACACTGAAAATACACTAAATTTGCCCTCTTAAAATACAGTGAGGAACCATTGTTGATACTCAGGAACGACCGTGTACTTACAATAAAAATACACAAAAAAAAAATACCCAAGGAAATAATGTGATACTAAACTGAAAAAACAGGAAATATACATTTTAATACATAGAATTTACATGCTAAATTTACAAAGATGACATTAAAATTCGCATTCGTTTGTTATAGATAAGAAAGAATAAAGCACTCTGGATCTACATATATTTACCCAATTTCTTAGTAGTACAACTCTTTATGGTTGCAAATTAACAGATTTTGAAATGTTTCCTAATGTCATGAAACAGTTGAGCAAGTACTCCTGCTTTGTTTTGTTTGCCTAACCATTGATACCACTGAATACATTTCAAATGCTCTTTCAAGAGCTGTTTGCTTTTGTTGCCTCTTTGCTTGTTAACCTGTGACTTGATGCTTTGCCATGCACGTTCTATGTGCTGTGTATGGCAACCAGTGTATGGATTAACAAAGTTTTCTGAATGGTTCACAGTAAAATGCCTGTACCCATGTCTAGGAAGAGCCTGAGCATATGCTCTCCAACAGTCACTGAAAATGGTAGATCCTCTTCTTGCGTGCCTTCTGATAATGGGCACAAGAGTCTGTCTTGAGCGGTTTTTGACTATCTTTAAAACTGGCAAACGTCTTTGGCCCTTGATTTCCAGCATTCCAAACACCCAGCTGTTTCTTCTCCATGTAGAACGAAAACGACCACGGTTATACTAAAAACAAAACAACATTTTTTTAGATTATAGGGTATACAGGAATCATGTTTTTATTAATATAAATTGAATACATTGTAAGACCTTTTTAAGACTCTTTTCATACATTTTAAGACCTCGTCGCCACTTTAAATTTTAACAAGTAACATTGGTGAAATTTTATGTTGAAGTATATTTACTGAATACTAACTTTTTAAAAGCCCTTCTAACAAATCTTGTGACAGCTCCTTATCAATTAAACATATTTTAAAAGGTTAGGAAACGAAGCACAAGATAATTATTTGAGATACTACCCCTTTGCAAATTTAAATATTAAGTAATAAAAATAATATAAAAAATACATGTATAATAAAAACATATGGCCTTGGAACTCAACAATCAAAACCTATTAATACTTTTTAAGGGCTTTAATTTTCTCTAAAATGATTTTAATATTTTTTAAGAATTCGCAGACATCCTGAATTAAGATGACTTAATCATTTAAAATGGATTAAGCCAAATATCAAGTATTTAATTAACTTATAAAACAATTAAATAATTTGTTTAATATATATTTATACAACAGGTCTGTCTGGTTCTTAAATCTGATCGACTGATAGCCATGTGATATTCTGCAATAACAGCATTTGTACTCCTTACTCTTCTGAAATTCTCCGCCCACGTACAGCGACAAGGACACTTTACAGTTTGACAAATATTGCAGCTATTAGACAACATTTTGTACTTTTATGGTTTTTTTAGTCAAGGATGTAGTTGTTTAAATTGCACCCATGCAGTTTATTTATAAGGATAGTGCCTATTTCAAAATATTTATAATTTATAATATAAGAGATTCTAAGTGCGTTGGCATCATTAGCCAAAGACGGTTGACGTTGTCTATCCACAAGATGGCGCCAGGAGCACATAAGCCCTTGCTTAGAAGATTAAAAGAGTGATAACTACAGCTGATCAAATCATTATTAAACAGGTAAGTGATATTCTAAGTCGATCTCTCTCTTTTGAATAGATTACAACTATGCAGTTTATTTATAAGGACAGTGTCTATTTTAATACAGTTACTTTCCTATTCCCTTTTTCAAAAGTGTTATTCAGAGACCTCACCCCCGAACATCCCCTCCTTATCGCAAACAAAACAGCAGTCTGGTAGTGATTGTGCTGCTTTTTTTGGGGTTAATTATTGTGATATCTCGATTGCAACAGAAAAATACTGTAGACTGTAACACTGTAATAAAATATCTCTGTAGACAGAGGGCATTTTATGTCAAGTTCAGCCTTATAATCTTAAAATGTCAGCAAAATCACCTGTTTTGTCATCACTTTATACATTACGCATGAGAATCATTCAAACACTAGCTCTAAAGTGAGGTTGGTGACTTAGTAATGGCTTCTGCTGTTTTGACGTCAGCTGCAGATGTGAATGAATGGCGGAAGAAAGTAGTTCCTAATACAAAAGGGTTTTTAGACTTTCTGTGTTTGATTTTCTATTTTTTATATAGACAATTGTGCCGTCGAACTGTTGTATAAACACAATATCACACTCATAGCAGTGCGATAAGGCTGTATATCAGCACTGGTGGGACACTAAAGCACGCCTCCTAACAGTGCTGATATACAGCCATATCGCACTGCCTATAAATCTGACTTCAACTGTATATTGACTTAAGTAAAAAAAAACTAAACTAAAATAAAAAATCTCTCCCTGTTTTAATTAACCTCATTTGTTCATGCTCCATTTACCTTTCTTTTATGCGCAAACTTAGACTCATCAATAGAAATAAACTTGCGTCTTGATTTTCCACCCATTCTAAGACCAGTTCTTCTTCTCAGTCTCTGTAGTGCAGCTACGCATATCTGAACAACATATAAGAGAAATATTAATTATTGACATTTATGAACTGACATGTTTAATTGCTTTGTTTCCAAATGCATTATTCTAAAGTATCAAACCTTCCTAATGGCATTTGTCATCCGGGAAAGTGTTCTTGAACTGCTAGCTATCTTATCCTCTAGCATGTCAATTTGCCTGAGTTGGAGTCCTTGTGCAAATCTGAGAATAAAGAGCACATCACAAGTACTGCCTCTGTCTGCTCTAGGTTGTACAATTATTACAGACATATTACATCACTGTACAGATATATATATATATATATATATATATATATATATATATATATATATATATATATATATATATATATATAAAATATAATTTATTTATAATAATATAGAATTTTAATTTTATTTTTTTACCACTCACCGGTAAATAAATTCCAACCACTTAATGAGATGTACTCTGCTTTGGCTAAAAAGTGAACCTTTTCTCACTGATGATGAAACTTTGCGATGACCCTTTCTTCTGCACAACCTATAAAAAAAAACCCAGTAAATCATAAAAACATACTACATACAACAGCCAATCATGTATTTCCTATTTTAAGGCAATATTTCCTAAATATTATACAATCATTTTGTAATATGTAAGGTTCATGACCAAAAGGCTAAGATAAATATAAAAATAACACAACCAATATATTTGTCTGTAAATAAAATATATTATTTATTTTTATTCATCCCTTTGTAATACTGTAACGTTAACGTTACTGCATATTTATTCATGTGCTTGTAATACGTCTCAAAAAAAGTTTGTCATCTGATTTTTATCTGTGTTTTTTTATTTATTTGTATGTATATTATGTGTGTGTTTTGTATGAAGCATTGCCACAATAAATACAAATTAAAGACCTATTATAAGATTTGTATAAATATATACTATATATAGTAACATGGCACAATGTACAGTAACTTAGTACTCTACTTACCATATATAACCGTCGCTACTCTTGTAACTGGTCAGCTTCATTTCCTTTCTGCAAACGCGGCAGGTTGGTGCACCATGGAGCAGTCTCTTCTTGATAAACCATTTTATTAAACTTTTCTGATGATGAGATCCTCTTCTACAGCGATGTAAAAGGTGGTGTATTTGCTCAGATAAATTCATTTTAATCGCATCGTAAAACTGCATACATCTACTTTTCTAAATATATTTGAAATGCAGGAGTGAAATGCGGGAGCGAAACATCCAATCAGAGATCTGCATTTGATGACGTATATACTTTCAGAGACGTGTTGCGCGCATGCGTGACTTACCTGGCGCCTGGGGGTCATAATTATTCGAATTTCAACGGCTGGCGACGACACATTGGAGGTATGGCAGATAAATAATTACGTCTTTAATATACGTATATGTATTATTGTCAAATGATGTACTTTGTTTCCACAGTATACGGAAATAGTGAAAAAAAAGACTTCATAACACTGATTCTAGAAACAGAATTTTAATTCTGAACACTTTCAGTTATGTTTCGGAAGAGGAAGACAAAAAGACTTCGCACTCTTGCAGTACCTGCATTAGGTAACTTACTGTTGTATATTCGTGGCATTGTTATTTCACTACAGCACCCAGAATGCATTGTGACGTGAACCGGAAATGCCGGTTGTTGTAGTTGTCATTGGATATAGCGAAGTAAAAACGGAGAGCAGTAAAAACGGTCTGTGTGTCATCTTATTCCTTATGCAACGTTATTATCCACACGGATATAATAAAGTGGCGACGAGGATTGAAGCACTCGCGCGTGTGTTATGACAACGCGGAAGTGAAGCAGCGTGAGTGACACGAGAGAGAGAGAGAGAGAGAAAAAAAAAAGTACGAGCCGGCTGCTTCACGTCTTCTAAAGGGAGAGGACCGACAGCGATTCAGATAAGTGACTGAATTGATTGTTGATGACCGAAAACGGGACAAAATGGCAACAGTTTTTGGCAATATGTGTCCGTTTGATGAAAGCAGTGAACAGTGGAGTTCTTATACAGAACGATTTGAGTACTTTGTGGCAGCAAATTCAATTGCTGATGATAAATTGGTACCCACCTTTTTAAGTGTGATAGGTCCAAAGACATTCACACTACTGCGTAACCTCCTACAACCAGAGAAACCGGGGGAGAAAACGTATGAGCAAATAGTAAACACTCTCAAAGCTCATTTCTCCCCGAAGCCATTAGTAATAGCAGAGAGATTTAGGTTTCACCGACGAAATCAGCTAGAAGGAGAAACTGTTACAATGTTTGTGGCAGTGTTAAAAAAATTAGCTGAACATTGCGAATTTGGTGATACATTAAATGACACACTACGGGACAGATTAGTGTGTGGACTTCGCTGTGAGGGAATTCAAAAAAGGCTATTAACAGAGAGCAACTTGACACTACAAAGAGCGATTGAACTGAGTGTGGCTATGGAATTGGCTGCTAAAGAAGCTCAGCAACTGAGCTCAAACAGTAAAGTGTATAAAATGGTCACGGAAAAACAAACAGAAATGAAGGGCCCTTGTTTTCGTTGTGGAAAAACTGGACATACACCTGTCACGTGTTGGTTTAAGGACATGGAGTGTCGCAGCTGTAAAAAGAAAGGACACATAGAGCGTGCATGTAGAAATAAAACAGAAAAAGGGAAAATGCAGCACAAAACAACATTTAGAAGAAAACAAAAGAAACAAGTATTCACAGTTGACCAAGAGAACAAGAAGAATACAGACACATCAGATGATGAATTTTCTTTGCATGTGCTCACCGTGGCAGGGGGAAACAAGTCATACAAGGTCACAGCGCTGGTGGAAGGATAACCAGTGAAGATGGAGATTGACACCGGTGCTGCGGTGTCGCTTGTGTCAGATGTGGTATACCGTGAAATTCTGAGCCACCTGCCACTAAAACCACCCGATGTGACCCTTAAAACTTACACTGGCGAATCAGTGACCATGAAAGGGCTTCTCCAGGTTACCGTTGAACTAAACAAACAAATAAAAAAGCTGCCATTGTATGTGGTTTCGGGTGATTACCCCTCACTGATGGGACGTTCCTGGCTGGAACAACTGCAGGTGAACTGGCAGGTCTTTCACATGATGACATCTAATACATTGGATTTAGAGGATGTTCTTCAGAAAAACAGTGACGTTTTCAAAAAGGAGTTAGGCAGCATGCAGGGGATCAAAGTGAAATTGACCGTTGAGCCGGAATGCCAGCCAAAATTCTTAAAGGCCCGACCTTTGCCATATGCACTCAAACCCAAAGTGGAGGCAAGCTTAACTGAACTTGTAAAAGATGGTGTCCTGGAACCAGTCAGTGTAAGCAAGTGGGCAACACCTATTGTTCCCGTTTTAAAGAAAGACGGTAGCATAAGAATTTGCGGAGATTTTAAAGTCACTGTGAACCCAGTGTTGTCGGTGGAACAATACCCCTTACCGCTCATAAATGACATCTTTGCAGGACTGACCGGAGGACAAAAATTCAGTAAAATTGATCTCAACCAGGCATACCTGCAAATGCATGTTGAGGAGCAGTCCAGAGAACTATTGACCATAAATACACACAAGGGCCTATTTCGGTATCAGCGCTTACCATTTGGAATCACTTCGGCTCCGTCCCTGTTTCAGCGAGCGATGGACCAGATTCTGGCAGGACTCCCGGGAGTAGTATGTTACTTAGACGACATTCTTGTGACTGGTACTGACGATGAATCACACTTGCAGCATCTGGACGCTACCCTAAAAAGACTGAAAGAGTACGGATTGAGAGTGCGGAAGGACAAATGTGAATTTTTCCAGTCTGCAGTTGAGTACCTAGGCCATGTCATTGATGCCTCTGGCCTGCATACGTCCCCAGCAAAGGTTAAGGCCATAGTGGATGCTCCGACACCTAAAAATGTCACCCAACTGCGTTCATTCCTCGGCTTGCTTAATTATTATGGACGTTTTATTCCAAACATCGCAACTCTGTTGAAACCCCTGCACAAATTGTTGTGTCAGGAGAATAGCTGGAGGTGGACCACTGAATGTCAGGAGACTTTCCAAAGAGCAAAGGAGACCATGCTGAAGTCAGAAGTCCTCACTCATTTTGATCCTTCTCTGCCAATTCAGCTGGCCTGCGACGCCTCCCCATATGGTGTGGGAGCTGTCTTGTCCCACATCATGCCGAACGGTCAAGAGAAACCGATCGCATTTGCTTCTAGAAGTCTGAGCAAAGCCGAAGCAAATTATGCTCAAATTGAACGTGAAGCATTGAGCATTGTGTTTGGAGTGCGCAAGTTTTACCAGTATATTTTCGGAAGGAAGTTTACTCTGCTGACCGATCATCGCCCACTGACTGCAATTTTTGGTCCTTATCATGGCATCCCCTCTCTTGCTGCTAGTAGGATGCAAAGATGGGCTTTGTTATTGTCTGCTCATACCTATGACATCAAATACCGGAAGTCAGAATTGCACAGAAACGCAGATGGACTGTCCAGATTGCCTCTCGCTGACCAAGTAAAAGAAACAAAAGTAGCTGAAATTTTCTACTTTAGCCAAGTGGAAAGAACCCCTATAACAGCTGCACAAGTGCGCAAGGGCACACGTAATGATCCTGTCTTGTCCAAGGTCATGGATATCGTCATGACAGGAAAAGATGAGAACCATGACCTAGAGCTAAAACCATATCTTACTCGACGTCATGAACTCTCAGTGCAGACAGGCTGTTTATTGTGGGGAAGGAGAGTGATCATTCCACCAACATTGCGCAAATCAGTGTTAAAACAGCTGCATGCGGGACACTGTGGAATGGTCCGCATGAAGGAGATTGCCAGGAGTTACTTCTGGTGGCCAGGAGTGGATCGAGAAATTGAAGAGAAGGCAAGAACATGTACGTCATGTCAAAGCATACGCAACGTACCACAACTGGCACCGCTGCACCCCTGGGAATATCCAGAGAAACCGTGGCATCGCATTCATGCTGATTTTGCAGGTCCGGTCGAGGACAAAATGCTGCTGGTCGTCATTGATGCACACAGTAAGTGGCCTGAAGTAGCCATAATGAAATCTACGTCAGCAGAAAAGACCATTGAGAAGTTGGGAGAAATTTTCAGTAGATTTGGACCACCAGTGCAGTTTGTTTCAGACAATGGACCTCAATTTATTTCGCATGAAATGGGCACATTTCTACTTGCAAATGGAGTGCAACATATCAAGTCATCACCCTACCATCCTGCAACAAATGGGCTTGCGGAGAGGTTCGTGCAGACCATGAAACATGCTTTAAAAGCTTCAATTGGACAAGGCACATTGCATCAACGCCTTCATAACTTCTTGCTGTGCTATCGCAGTACTCCACACGCAACTACCAAAGTGTCACCAGCCTACTTGTTGTTTAATCGAGAGCTCAGGACAAGCTTTGAGCTACTTAAACCAGCAACACTCAAAGAAACGGTCCTACAACAACAAGAAAATCAGGTACAGCGACGGAAACTGCGAGCCAAAGACAGATCCTTTTTGATAGGCTCATCGGTGCTGGCCCGGAACTATGGCACCGGTCCAAAATGGGTTCCAGCTACTGTGGAAACCCAGACGGGTCCCGTGTCCTACAGGGTTAAAACTGCTGGTAATCTTCTATGGAGGAGACATACTGATCAGTTACTGAGTGGAGCCAGTACATTCACTGACCTTCCTGAAGGTACCGACGTCTGTGATTCAGTTGGCAGCTCACCAGCTTCTGCGACTGTCACTACAGAGCCTAGCAAGATTACAGATTCCCCACCTACTAAAGAACTGTCACCTCCTGTTGTTTCGACTGAAAATGGGGACCAAGTAAGCCGCCGGTATCCAATAAGAGAGCGACGTCAACCTCAGCGTTTTTTGGATTATACTTAGTTAGGGGCTACCCTTACAGTATTTGAGTTGGGGCAGAATAATCCCCTAAGGGTAAGCCAGGGTTTGAGGTAGTCCACCCTCATTCCCAGGGATTTAGTTGTCTTAAATTACCAAGGACATTTAAGACATTTAATCAAGAAGCGTTCAAATAAATAAATGTGTGTTTACAGAATGTTATAATGGTAAACTGAATGTTATACATTCATTCTGCATGGTGCTAGTTCAAAATTAAAATGTTGACCTTCAAATTTAAGGGGAAGGAAATGTTGTATATTCGTGGCATTGTTATTTCACTACAGCACCCAGAATGCATTGTGACGTAAACCGGAAATGCCGGTTGTTGTAGTTGTCATCGGATATAGCGAAGTAAAAACGGAGAGCAGTAAAAACGGTCTGTGTGTCATCTTATTCCTTATGCAACGTTATTATCCACACGGATATAATACTTACAACAACACTATTATCGTACTGTAACATTAATGTTTCCTTGATTGTAACGTTAGCACATAAATTGACCCTTTTCACAAGACTGTTATGACGCGCTAACGGTCGTCATAAGCTGAAATCCTTGAAAGTTTTAATACTTTGATTTCTAAAAAGAAACGTGTCATATTTGTGTCCAATTACAATTAAATGCAAGGTTTTTCTAATGCAGTGTCTATGAGGTTGAAAGTAAATTTTTTTCTCTTTATCTGAAAGTCTTGATAACACCATTGTGGAGTATTTAGTGTATTATTTCAGCAAATAGGACTGTAAAAAGATTAATTGTTGCCATAGTCTTTCATCATTTACTGGCTTATCTACAGATATAAATGCCGTTGTCACAGATGAGGACAGAGAGGTAACATTCTCCAAGCAGTCAGTGGACTGTGAAAACAAACCAGGTACATATGATATTTTGGGACATTTCTAAATTCTAATGTTATTCTAAGCCTAACGTTACTTTTTGTGTTTCCATTTATAAATTATCCATTTTATTTACTGTGCTCGGCATAAATGAGTACACCCTCACAAATCTCTCTTTAAATTAATATTATCTATAGGACGCTGTGCAATAATATATTTGTGCATATACTATACTTTATCAGTTCCAAAACTGGAACTAGTTTAACAAAATATCTTAATATAACAGTCCAAATATGTGTACTGTACACCCAAATTAATTTGTTATGGAAAAATATGAAATAATAAAAAAAAGTTGTTTGTTTGTTTGCACAACCGCATGTGAAACTGATTGTCAATCAGTGTTGCTTCCTAAGTGAGAAATTGGTGTACTCATTAATGCTGCTCACTGTAGTTTGTCTATATAAGTGTAAGGTTTTAACAAATAGGTGATGATTAAAAGGATAGTTCAACCAAAACTAAAAATTGTCATCATTTACTCATCTTTAAGTGGTTCCAAACCTGTTTGAGTTTCTTTCCTATTTTAAACAAAGAAAGACACTTTAAAGAAAATCTGTAACCATCCACTTACATACAATTAGTTTTTTTTTACTATGAAGTTCAATGGTTACAATGTTTTAGCTTTCTTCAAAATATCTTTTTTTATTTTAACCACTTGAGGGTGAGTAATTAGTAAGTATATTTTAGTATATATCAAGTTTAATAGTTATTTGTAATGTTATCATACAATTTGCTGCACTCACTGTAACTATGTTAATTCTGTTTCACAGAAGACTCAAGCCCAGTTGCCAGCTATTCTTTGGATGAAAGTGAGAAGGGTGAGATCAAATAACTGTCTGGCTACAAAATTAAAAGACAGTTATTTCAAACCTGACCTTTGATAGAGCCTATATAACGAGTGGCAGAACATACAGTAAATTTGAATGTCTGTGTTAAGGACTCCAGGCAGCTTCAGAAGGTCCAACTGTGGAAATTCTTTTGGAAAAGATAAAATCTCTAGAGGAAGAGCGTGACTTTCTAAGACGCACACTTGGATCTGTTTGTGGTGAGTAATGCTAAGCTATAAGTAGGTCCACACGGAATCTGCGCGCAGAATTCCGCAAATTTTTAGCCCATTATAAATTCTGTTTATTTACTTGAGCAAATGTGTAAATCTGAATTTATTCAGTTTTTATCCAGTAATTTATTACTTTTTATTTAATATATTAAAGTGTAAGTTATGATACTCCGCTGGATACTGCCAAAATAATTCCGCAGAAATCCGCAGATTTTTACCAAAATTCTCTGCAGAAATAGCAAAAAACGTCCGCAGATTCCGTCTGGCCCTGCCAATAAGATAATCATAGGCTTTATATGTAACACTACTTTTTATATAAAGCAAGAAAAATAGGTACTTAACACGTCACATTATTTCTTAGAAAGCATCTTGTTAAAGGTGTTGCTTATTTAAAAAGTTTCACCAGAGCTTAGCATCCAAAATTAATCCACATACAAATAAACAGAAGTAATTAGTTTAGAAATGTAGTTTTGTGTAATAAAATGAAATCGGGGGTGGGGTGAGGGGTCTAACCTACACAGTAAAAAAATATTGCGGCAATTAGTTATGACAACTAAAAATGTTGAGTTATGTTAACTTATTTGGATTGAATGTGTTGACATAAATTATAAATTATATCAAAGTTTTACTTGGCTAAACTTTTACTTAAAGGTGCAGTAGGTGATCTGCCAAAATGCTTAGCACATTATCTTTGGATGGCGGGGAGGGACTGTGATTCAAAGTCACGCCTCTTAAAATCGCAAGTGTGCGCACCGCGACACGACAGCAGACAACTCACCAGTTCATGACATTTGCCAGTTAGAAATGTAGTTAGTGTCTGGCTGGCGGTGTGCAGGAATTTTACTTATTAATAGCGCTATTTACTGATGTTTTGTTGTTAAACTTGTTACTAAATGAAAACAACAGTTTAGAGCTCGTCTCCTTTATTGCATGACCACCATGGCCATTCACTAACAACAACAAAAAACTCTCGCTCACACCGGAAGTGACCTTTTAACATAACATAAAAGTCCTACTTTCTTTCTATGTGCAGCATACACATTTACGGTTGTCATCACCATGAATTGAACTTAACAAAACTAAATAAAAATCTACATTACAAGATGCTGTAAAAGGTCCTTATAAAACTGAAAATAGTTACATCAATCTTTCACTGGGAGATTTTAGTGGCTGAACAACACCTCTGTGTATATAATCCATTTTAAACACACTCTATATCATCTTTGTGGAAGAACATTACCTGTCTAACAGAAACACTTCAGCCATGGTGTTGTCCTTTCTCCAGCGTTCAAAAGTAACTCCAATATTGATTCAGGATTTTAAAGAGTTTAAATTCAGAATTTGATTTTACCGCGACAGTGAATGTCTTGTGTGCACGTGTCGTGAATGCACGGCAATCATGCAGGCGGGCACACAAAAATGACGGATGCGCGTGAACAGAGATGCGCAGAAGCCCAAAACTACATTTGTTGACAGTTTGGGCTACTTATCAGAATTATGGGAAATGTCGGCCTGACAATATTTAATTTAATAAACATTTTTTAGTCTTATGCCTTACTCAGAATATAAAAATACATATAAACACATTTAGATCATTTACTTTAATCATTACTATTGGACTGTGAAGAGACTTTTAATCAGCACAACGAAAAATGTTTCTGAAGACAATCACCTACTGCACCTTTAAAGTCAAAAGTCAGCTAAATCTATATATTAGTTAAGTTAAACATTTTCAGTTAAAAATAATTCTGCTTTAAATAGTACAAATTTGTGCAAATAAAAATTTATAAATTTGTAATTAAATAAATCTACTTTAAAAATTGTATTCGTATGCATATATACATATATACTTATATGTATATATACACACACACTTACTCATTGGCCACTTTATTGGGTACACCTTACTAGTACCAGGTTGGACTGTCTTTTGCCTTCGGTATTGCCTTGGGCCCCGTTTACACTAACACGTTTTAGTTTTAAAACGCATACGTTTTTATTCTAAAATGCTGCTGCTCTGTCTCAGTGTGGATGGGGGAAAACGGAGACATCTGAAAATGGAGGCAGGGCTGCAGACAATCGCCTATCTGATTGGGGCTTTTTCCTCAATATAAAGTAGCCTACACAAAGTTCAGTCTTCTTGCTCTCCTTGTCAGACTTCGCAAGTTTGATATGGAGAACAAACTCCCATGGTCACGTCGGGTAAATATTTAAAGGGAACAGTGTACTTTATAACCTCATTCACATACCCTGGCTACGTTGTTTTACTATGTTAACAATAAAATGAAAACATGATATAAGGAACTGCCTATTTTAATTTTGATATTAACAACATAACAGACCCCAAAAATGTTGTGGTGTCGTGTAGCTACTTATTTATATGACTGTTATCTTCACCGTATGCAAATTTATAACAAAACGGAGCCTTTAACATAACTACCTCCTTTCATTTTCATTGAAAATACGAAACATACCATCTCTTTCGCTGAATATCAGTTTTAATAATCAATAATGCTTGCGCTCTGTGTTCTATTCCCACTTATCACCCTGGCCTATTCATTTAGAACATTCTAACATTAAAAGTTGGAATTATTAAAAATAAAAAAGCATAAAGGTCATCGCTCTTAAGTGTAGTTTGCTTTCAAACTATTTTTTACAGTTCAGTTTTAGCGATCTTAATGTTAACAATCATGCTCTCTTCGCAGTGCATTTTTAAGACATTGATTTATTTTAAACACAGCCTCATGGCAAAAGCTATAGGTGACCTATTATTTAAAAGCAGAATTTATGTTATGTCTCCAAAGCTTGTGAAAACAAAAAGCATACGTTAATTCTTTTCATTTATAGTGGGTTATTTATTAAATGTCTGTACTCTATATGACATGGGCCTGCTGGTTAGAACATTTCTCAAATTGTAAAAGTAGACTTTAAAAAAAATAAAAATGAATAAACAACATCCTACTTATTAATAATATTAACTACTATCATCATCATACTTAAATATTATTAAAGTATGTTTTTTTTCATTTCTAAGAAATAATACATATTACATTTCATTTCTTAATAAATTGCCTCATTATTTATTTATTTATTCATATGACTTATATATGATATTAAAATATGTGTTAGCTTTTGTAAGGGATATGTTTTAGAATAGAATATGTAATATTCAACTTCTCAATAATATTAGTAAAGCAAACACAAGCCCTATGTGCCATTTACATATTATCCAGTTAATATGGAAAGCGTGTGCATGTTTTTACCAAATCTAATATTGAACTTTATTTTAAATGTGTGTGTGTGTAAAACAATATAATTTGCACAAAGAAATTATGGGTTTTTCTCTAAAGAAGTTGTTACTCCCAGTTTAGAGCATCATTTTGGGCGTTTTACGTTATAACTAACGTCGTTCAAGCGATGAATCTGCGAAAGAAAAACTACCGGTTTTGGGAAAACACTCGTCACTACATAGTTATTTTCCCAAATGATTGAACCATACTATGATAGTTCAGCCGTTAGTGACATCGTTGTTTGGGAAACGCACCCCTGGTTTCTTCCAAAGATGTAGATTACCCATAGTATATGAGTGTGTGTGCAAATGAGAGACTCAGCTTCAATATTTAAGTGTAGTAAACTTAAACCATGTCTATTGTACTTGAATTATAAGTACTATCAATATCCTTCTTAATTACAACAACTTACACTTGTATTGTCAAGTCCTGCCAACTTTAACCTGAGTTAAGACAACTTTGCTGTTTAAGTGAAAAAAAGTAATGTTTTTAAGGCAGCAATTGTTTTAGTGTTTTTACAGTGAGGGTAGTAAGCTGCATTTAGATCAGCCTTCATTTTGGTATACAGTATTTGTTAGTTTTATTACAGTATAATAAACAATAAAACCAGCAACTACTGGACACAATTAGACCTTGCAAAGTGCAAGTTACTCAAAATGCCTAATGCAATAGATTATTTTATGCCAACATTAAAAATGACAGCCATTTCAAGGAAAAATGAATTTAATATGAATCTTTCATTTAGGCAAAGAAAAGAAAAAGAAGAAGAAAGACACTAGTAGTGACAGTGATGAGTTACCCTCTTCATCATCTTCATCGTCCTCCCTATCATCATCATCATCTGAAGATGAAAGATGTCACAAAAAAAAATCCAAAAAGAAGAAACCCCCCCCAAAAAGGTCAAGATCTACATTCTCCTGTTCAACTGTGAGAGGTAAATACAAGATCAGTACTTTTTGTGAATTGATTCTTGATGAAAATGACTTTGCCATTTTTTTTATAATGTGCAATGCATTAATAAATTATTTATTTAATTTTCAACAGCTAAGTCTCCAGAAGACGTTCTAAAGAGATACAAAAAAAGTTCTTCGAGCATACAATAAGGAAGGAAGCATGACAAGAGCTTTCACAAAGGTTGGAGTGGACAGAAACACTCTTGCCCTCTCTGCAGTTATAGCTGAGATTCAAATTGTTGATCCAGAATTTTACCGCTCCCTCCCCCAATTCCAGCCTCAGCAAGAGAAGCTTTTTGAATTTGCTCAGAGGTGCTCTGAGGCCCTGACCACTGAAGTGAAAGCTTCAATTTTCTCGGCAAAACAAAGTGGAAAACTCTTGCCAATTAAATACAAATTTCGCTAAATGCTTATTATTTTGAGGTTTTTTTTTTTCATCTCACGTATGGTTTCCTGTGTTACTGTATATCTAAAGAAATGTGTTTAAACCATATTGTGTGACCTTTTTTGTTTGTTATATTTTCTCAAAATAATTCTAATTTTGTAAAAGTTTCCTAAATACACTGTTTCAGTTTATCTGAAAGTTACAATAAAAATAACTGAATTAAAACTTGTTTTTTGCATATCCTGTAATTATTAGCAAGTTTAAATAAAAATACCACATTTATAATTGTTCACACATTTGTTCTCCCACAAAAGGGCAGATTTAGTGTATTTTCAGTGTAAGTACACGGTAGCTCCTGTGTATCAACAATGGTTCCTCACTGTATTTTAAGAGGGCAAATTTAGTGTATTTTCTATGTAAGTACACGGTTGTTCCTTTGTATCAACAAGGGTTCCTCACTGTATCTTAAGAGGGCAAATTTAGTGTATTTTCAGTGTAAGTACACGGTAGTTCCTGTGTATCAACAAGGGTTCCTCACTGTATCTTAAAAGGGCAGATTTAGTGTATTTTCTATGTAAGTACACGGTTGTTCCTGTGTATCAACAAGGGTTCCTCACTGTATCTTAAAAGGGCAAATTTAGTGTATTTTTAGTGTAAGTACATGGTTGTTCCTGTGTATCAACAAGGGTTCCTCACTGTATTTTAAGAGGGCTGATTTAGTGTATTTTCAGTGTAAGTACACGATAGTTCCTGTGTATCAACAATGGTTCCTCACTGTATTTTAAGAGGGCTGATTTAGTGTATTTTCAGTGTAAGTACACGGTAGTTCCTGTGTATCAACAATGGTTTCTCACTGTATTTCAAGAGGGCAGATTTATTGCATTTTTCAATGTAAGTACACGGTAGTTCTTGTGTATCAACAATGGTTCCTTTCTGTATTTTAAGAGGGCTGATTTAGTGTATTTTCAGTGTAAGTACACGATAGTTCCTGTGTATCAACAATGGTTCCTCACTGTATTTTAAGAGGGCTGATTTAGTGTATTTTCAGTGTAAGTACACGATAGTTCCTGTGTATCAACAATGGTTCCTCACTGTATTTCAAGAGGGCAGATTTATTGCATTTTTCAATGTAAGTACACGATAGTTCCTGTGTATCAACAATGGTTCCTCACTGTATTTTAAGAGGGCTGATTTAGTGTATTTTCAGTGTAAGTACACGATAGTTCCTGTGTATCAACAATGGTTCCTCACTGTATTTTGAGGGCAGATTTAGTGTATTTTCAGTGTAAGTACACAGTAGTTAAGTACATATTCCTGAGTGTCCAAATGGTCCCACCCTTTACAACAAAATTTACTTAGTTAACAAGAGTTAACTAATACGTTGACATAATTTATTAATCGTAGTTACTGTTGACCATTGAATTTACTAGATTTGTAATATCAAGTTATGTGTATTTTTACATTATTTAATGCTGTACAACATAAGTGAGAACCATTTTGCTAACATAAACAAAGATTATATATGCCATAAAATATATTTTTCATTGCTATTTCCTCTAATTTTTTGCATATTAACTACTGTTTACAAATAAAACGTTTTGCTGAATAGATGGTGCAGTTTATGTGCATTATTTACAACAGGTGAAGTGCACACCACAACATAAATAAATAAATGACTCTTTCCTGACACAAATAAATTAAATGAATGAACTGAATGAACATTTACAACTGTATGTATTTTGCAAACATTGGTTGCATCTTTGAATAATAAGGATATTGCGCACCTTGCGGTAACCATAAACAATAATTCTTTGTTGTGTAATAGAAGTAAAAAAAATATGTTTGCCAAAAAAAAAAAAAAAATAGCAATAGCAAATATGTTGTGTACTTACAATTGTGTACTTAAAAATAATGTACTTACAAATACGTACTTACAAATATGTACTTATAAAATGTGTACTTACACATTAGCCTATATATGTAAGTACACTTTTGTAACTACATATTAAGCATGTGTGTACTTTAAATGTAAGTACAATGTAAGAACATGAAGGTACAATGTAAGTACACTGTACCAAATATGTAATTTGGGCTGTAGGTACATAGTTACTAAGGCCACCTAATGTAAAGTGGGACCCATTTGGTCCTGATGAAAACTGAAATACAGTTCATGTGTGAGCAATAATGTAAAACACTAAATACCTTTGGGCAGATGATGGTGATTTCTCACTGAGGTTTGGTGGATTACCTATTGAGCAGTCACTCTTCAGAGACACACATGACCCTGATCTCACACTAAACACACAAACACACCAGAGGAAAAGGAGCATCACAACCTCAAAGTAATGTTCAAGGTGTAAGATAAATCATTATTGTGTAAAGACTCTTCTGAATATGTCAATCCCAGCCCAACACTCCCATGTGTGTCTCCTGTGTTCAAAGTTTTTGATTGAAGTCAATATTCATTTCCAAACTATATTTAATAATAATCACAGCTCTGTGCATTCTCCCGTCACATTTTTTTTCTTCTCCTTTTTTTTTTTTTGCTAATTCTACAGCAGAATTTATGCAAAATGATTTTTATAAGTGTCGTAATACTGTAACTAAATCATAATCATATTGTAACTAAAAACTTAATATATGAAATAAAATAAAAATTTTAAAAGTCTTATTTAATGTTTACAATGCTAATCCATTTAGATCCACATATTTGGTAAACACAGCAAGTCTCTCATGTAATATTGACTAAAAGACAGAAAATATGACTTTACAAACTGTCCTGTAAATTAATCAAGTGAACATGTTTTCTATTAGTCAATAATAACACTGAAATGTATTTATAAACTGAATAAATATAAATGTACACACATTTACACTAGTAAATAATTAGACTCAATAGTCTATTCACAAAATAAAGTGAACAGTGTGATTTGTTGCTTTTTTTAGATCAGCACAACTGTTTTGCGTCATGTTGTTAAAATAACACATCCGTTTGCACCACTTTGTGGACTCATGGGTGTTCTGGTCTATAAAGGATGTGTGTTAAGGCTATTTTGAAGAACTGAAATAGACCGCACCATTGAGCACAGATCAAGCTGTCTGTAATCTAGAATGATCTAAACACATTTGCTGAAGCTGTAAACTGAAGCTTTGTCCATCATTTGATCAGGCAATAGCAACACAAATAAGTGCATTGTTGTTGGTGTTTGTTCTTCAGACAAAGTATTGAAATAATGGTGTAAAAACAGAGTCAATACCTGTGTTTCTCTGAGAGAGAGTCCTTTACTCACTCCTCTGCCATACTGCAGCTAAAACACCAATGCAGACATTAGCAGAGCTTTCAGGAAACTATCATACACACACACACATATATATATATAATCCTTAACATGAATGCAGTTGGTTTAACCCCTGATCCGACATCCCAGATTTTTCACGTGATAAATGCATGTTATATAGAGTTTATCAAGAGAAGTTCAGGTTCAGCCAATTGTTGATTTAGTGAGTATTAAAATGTCTCTCTACTAAAGAGGCTCTTTGGTTAATGAGTTACTCTGACAGTAAAGGTTAAATGCAGTGTTGTTTAAGGATCGTCAGCTTGTTGTTTTCAGCTTTTCTTCCTGTTCAACTGAAGGTCTGCTTTAACTTTACTTTTGATTTGGTGACTCTGAATGTTTAGAGTTATATTTAATGCTGAATTATTGGACACTATTGAGTCAGTCTGATATAGAAGAGCACAAACACTTTAAAGGGATTAAAAATAAAGCTTTTAGACACAGTGTTTAAATGAGCGTGTTTGACTCAGTGTTTATTCTGTGTTTGAGGATTTGATCTTCAGGATCAGACATTTAAATCACACTCACACATATAAACCCTTCATCATCTCCACAAATCAGCGTAATGTAGAAGTGTTAAACTCACATGCAGAAGTACAGACGCTCTTGTGCAGCAGGAACACAATCTGAGCTCTTTCACTCTTTCACTTCACTAAAACACACCTGTGTGATCTACAGGTATATCCTCAAATATTACTGGCTCCATCAAGTGACACTGACATGAATATTCATGAGATTCTCCTGACTGTGGGCGTGTCCTGAAGACAACACATAAACCACTGGAGCTGAAGATATCTCTGCAGATTCTCTGAGCACGAGTGTGTTGAAAGAGTATTGAAAAAGTATAGTATATATAGTGTCATATATTACAAACATATATGAGAATAGAAAAAAAGGTATTTGAAATAAAATCCAAGAGGTCTCTGAAAAATATTTAAAGCAGTATTAATAATAAAATAAGATTACAGATGGAAATGGAAATGAGTACACCCCTTACAGATCTCTCTGATGAATTATTACTTTCTCTCAGATGCTGTTCAATAATATAAGTGTGTTTATACATTAGATTAGTCAGAACTGAAGCCAAAACAGTTTTAAATTTCGCTGAAATGTTCATTCATTCATTTTCTTTTTGGCCTAGTCCCTGATTTTTATCAAGGGTCACCACAGCGGAATGAACCGCCTACTTACCGGAGCACCTAGAGGAAACCCACGCCAACACTGGGAGAACATGCAAACTCCACACAGAAACACCAACTGACCCAGCTAATGCTCGAACCAGTTACCTTCTAGCTATGAGGCGACAGTGGTAACCACTGAGCCACCGTGTCGCCCTAGTTCTTGCAGTTTGTATCTTGTTTATTGTTTGCAGCTCCTCATTTGAGTTTAACTGTATTATCTGTCTATTAGTGAAGGTGTTTGGTGATCACTCTCCTATTTAATCAATATATCTGTTAATCTGTCTTTATTCACATAGATTAAAACACATAGTTAAGGCAGTGTGTTTATTGATGCTGTGCTTGTATATCAAGTAGTCAGTGATTGAAATGGTTGTAAAAGATTGTCTAAATTGCTGTAAGATGAGAACAGGACAGCTTTAATGAAAGGTTTGGATTATATAATGATCACTCATTTACAGATGTTTGACACCCTTTATCGTCGTCATTTCTCTAAATGTTCAGAACAATACGATAATA